CTCTTGGCGTCTCCGCTGAACGTGGGCGCTGTGTACTTCACGCTTTGGTATCCCACGCTCGCACTACCGAAGACAGCAGCACCACTTCCCATGGCGCTGCTGAAACAAACTTGATTGTGAGCAGCGGCTACTCTCACCTCTTTGGGGTCTGAACCCCCTACTTCGCCGCTGTGTCGCCCCGAAGGACCAGACTCTCTTCGCAGGTCCGCTGCCTGCGCGCTCCCGTCGTACTGCACGTTCCCAAAATGACCTGCAGTGCTTGTGGCGACGCTCTCCACGGCGCCGCCGCTTTCAGCGGCGCCCTCCGTGGCACCGCCGGACTTCTCCTCTATACGTGCAGCAAGTCCTCCGACCAGCTGCACCAGCTGGCCCATTTGCTGTGTCAGCGAACTGATTTCAGACCTCATGCTGTCGATCTGCTCGCTGCTATTTGTGTCTCCTGCCTGCGAGCCGTCCGGAGTGGTCCCTCCGGTTCTGCGGCCCGCCATCCCTAATGGACTCCCTCGAGGGAATAAACACAAGTGTGTTGGTATGTCCGTACTTGGGAGGAGAAGACACGCTTTAACTCTCTCTGATTAGGCACCTGCGGGGAGCGAGGAAAGGAAGGGAAGAAGTGGCCCTCCCGAATTCGGGGAAGGGGGCCCACACATAGTAGCCTTTTTCAGGCATACGCATGCTCCTGTCTACGTGCCCCCCCCGTGCTGCTAGCAGATCAACCATGCTCGTATCCAGACACACGAACAAAGCACACGACCGTCACGAGGCTCGATCTTCTACTACTTTCATGTCAACACGAACAATGAAAACTAAGAGGAGTGGCGGGGTCCGCGGCGCAAAACGTTTGCATTGACGAAGAAGATGCTACTCTAGATCCGCGGTAGTTCCTTGTCTACAAAAACTCTACCACACGACAGACAGCCCACGGTTGACGGTGGTAACGGCGGCGATGGAACATGAACCTACCTGTACTCTTTGGCATTCTTATCCAGGCACTGGCGAACGCTACGTATTCCAAAAACCTTAGGTGTCTAGTCGACTCGATGTCACTGCTGTACGGCGCTGGACTCCTCCCGGAAAAAGAGGTAGACTAGTCTACAGTAGTTTGGGCATTAGTCTATTGGGAGTGTGCCGGACGGTTCACACCCGTCAGGGTACGACGAAACGTTCTATGCATTATATCCAGCAAGGTGAATCGTTGATTATCGGAACTGTTGCAACACAAACAGCCGGTTTCAGGGAAGCCCATGTACCAGCCACAATAAACGTTAGTTTAAAGCAGCTGAATAGTTTGCCTCGTCTCACAATACTCGCAGATCTGGGCGATTGGACCGGCAATGCTGGCCAATGCCGGTCGCTTCTCTAGGGAAGACTAGGGGCCGGTCGTCTGGGACACTAACCCCAGTCATTCACCATTCGGTGGTTACCCTCCAACTTATTGACGCAGGAACGCCGAATCTTGGACCAACAGGCGGCGGAGCTCCGAAAACTTGAGAAGGAATTGTCCTCGGCAATGGCGGAGGCAAGGTTATCTTGCGACAGCGAGAGTGAAAAATGTCGATACTCAATGTACTTTAGGTCCGCCGTCAGCCCTACGTCAACGTTTATTTTGACTCTCCCACACATACCTACTGTCAACACCTTGGGCTCCTGGAAATTCCTGGGTTCCATTTGTTGTCTGTTCCATCTTGGGCGCATGAATTGGAGAAATACGATGCGTGGGACTTCACCCTCCTTGCGATCGGTAGCCTGCCTTGTAGCATCATGGGGTGAAGACTGAAGATCGAATGTGGCACGCGTATGTGGCGACGCCTTCGGCCCGGTAGATTAACGCCCACCTACCCAAAATATGTAGATCAACCTTGCGTGCCCTTAGACTTAACATTGCGCCCCTGACGCGACGCATTATATACGCGTACTGCCGGATGCCGGGGGAGAATACGAGACAGTTGTTTTTTGTTCTCGCACCTCCTCCACGATACAAGTGTTGTATCGGAAATGCGGTAGTAAATAGAGGCAACATTTTCAGATAGCTAGTCTATATCAACAGATATGATAGGATCCATTGCATCAAGAGTTCTGACATCAAGTCTCAGATTCCTTCGTTACACATGGTGGACGGCGACTGCAATGTACAACTATTGCTAAACAATTGGTAATTGCCCGAGTAGTCTTTAGTTGACCTGACGTTCTTGCTCCCTGCGAGAGTTCAGAAATCGAATGTATGTGAGACCTACACTGAAGGGGTTCGTGTCGTTTTCTGTCTCGAAGGAAGCTAAGCTGGAGGGGCGACGTCTTCGGCTTAAAAGGTACGAGGATTATCTCAAGGGAAGCAGCTCCGCAGCCGACCCGGAGAGAGACGAGATCAGCGACTTGCTCAACAGGTATTCTTGGCTGCAGGGTGTTCTTTCGACTACAGTACCTTCGTGGCCTACCGACTAGGCCAGCGACCTCCGGGGACACACCCCTCGCCACGCGTCAGCTACTGTTTGTTTCATTCCTTCCTCGACCTCTTGAAACTTCCTGGCACACGGGACGTGTCAAAAACGATTCGAATGCATGATTGGGTTGGTTAGGCTGAATGGTCGAATTGATGACGCCTACTTCTAATTTTGTGCAACGATACACAGATTCAAAACGCTACGAGATGCGAACTTCGACTTGATGAAGCTGTGCGAGGAGCACGACACCAGCTACGAGAAAGGACGTCTTGAGATGCAGCAATACAGGTGTGATGGTGTGCTCATCATGTTCATTTCGAGAAAATTTTCCTCTGGAGGAGGGGTAAAGTTCCAGGCGTTGCCGGATTGTACGTTGAGCATTGTGGGCTTACGGGTAACGTTTTCTCTAGCGCTCGATGACTTTTCGCTTCTCTCGGACACAAATATAGCCATCAGAAGTTCCGACAAGGACTGACATTGTTCCAAACGCCCGAGAAGCGGGTCAACTTCCATTCATACGGTTGGTTTTCAGCCATGTGATGGGCCACACAACGATATTCCTAGGTTTTTCTTTTAAACAGCTCCGGCCCTCGGTTACTTGTAGCATTTGTTGGAATATTTAAAGGTGGTTTTCGTTTGAGGCAAAATATGTAACCATAGGTTGCATTGGTACAACGTTCGTCCACGACGGGGGATGACGGCGGACGAGGGGGGGAGCTGCGAGGGTCATCACTAAAGCTGTAGTCTGTGTTGTACCTCTTGATTTCAAGACGCTGTATGACCTGAGTAGTTGCACTTGTTCGGTTGTTGAGGGAGTTCGCGAGTTTCTGTTTATCTCTTCGCGCTTATTATTATACCTACTAATCATTCTATAGGACTCCCACAGGACATTTCGTGCGTCTCGTTCTGTTGTGCACATGCATGCTATGGCGATTCAACGCTGATGAAAAAATATGCGGGAGCTATGGAGCTAAAAAATTGTGGCTCAGAGCTGACAGTATGCAGCCGTGTTCAATAGATAACCTGCTTTTGTGCGCAAGGTGCTGAACACTTGACGGCGTGAACACATGCGGTCATTCACCGGCCTCCTTGCGTTTTCGGTTTCAGGCAGGACAAGCAAAATGAAGTTTTGGTGACCAATTCTTCCCTAAACGAGAAGCAGATGGAGCTGGAGCAGATAAGGGGGGGCGTCAAGAGAGAGGAGCACAAGAGCGAACAGGAAGGAGAGCGGGTGATGGGGGTGTGCAGGGAGTCTGGCCAAGTCATGCTGGCCATCAGCAACCTTCACGCGAGGTGAGATCGTACCGTTTCGTGTGGCACTCTATTTCCAGGTGCTCCGAGCAAACGATGCCAGCCAGTGAACCTAACATACAAAAATTTGCGTGGGTACCCAACTCCAGATGAGGAGGTGAACCAGGAGACTGAGGCCTCATGCACTTTGCATGCTTCACGCCGCTATAGGGCCATGTTGTTTGACAGTAGACCATTGGCGGCCTAGAACCTAGTTGACTCCCCTATACTCACCTTCGGTCGAATACTGGTATTATTCGGGCGAGCACACGGTACATTTTTCTGTTGGGGAGGGGGGGGGGG